CACACACACACACACACACACACACACACACACACACACACACACACACACACACACACACACACACACAATCCAGAGGTTCAGCTCCATGCACTCTAAAAATGAAATGTTGGATTTACTTAACCATATTATGTTACCTGGATCCACTTAACTGAGTTGAGTAAATTCAAAGCAACATATTCATGTTCTTTGGCTAAAAAACTGGTATATTGCTTTGAATTTACACAACTCAGTTAAGTGGATCCAGGTAACATAACATGATTAAGTAAATCCAACATTTCATTTTTTACAGTGTGTATTCTGGTCAGAGGTTGGGTAATAAAAAAAGGATCTGAAGTATCTGATGTCTATCTTCTTGTGCAAACAAGAGATTATGTGCAATGAATAAGGGGGGGGGGGGCTTTGTTTCCGAAGGGTTAGGGTCAGAAGAGGAGAGGGGAAAAAATCAGAATGAAGTAATCTCCAGTAAACTATCACAAAGCTTTGACAGCTAAAAACTTGCCAGGCAATAATCTGCAAAAAKAGATTTATGTGATATCAGACAAAAAAAAAAGTTGTTGAAGAAAGAAGCTCCCTCTGAAATCTGTTGTTCCTTTCAGCTGTGGATCGGTGATTAGAAAAGTCGTCCTCCAACAATAGAGTTGGGCCACTGCAGCCCATTTACCATCTTCTCCACTGAGCTTTATGAATCTGATGTGAAGTTATGTTTGTAATGTATGGTGGACATGGGAATTTTGATTCAACAATAAAAAAAAACCCTATAATGCAAATTAATCTACGTGGCTATCAGCCTTCCAAATAAAATGTGTACCTGGATTTTAAACATTCATTAATRTACCCAACATACGTGTATTGTATGGGTTTCAGTTTACAGAAACACTCCATAATGCTCCAACTAAATAGTTGGACAGTTTTCGAAGCAGCACCACTGATTGAAGTATCCATCCTTTAGATGAAGGACCAGCAGAGGCAGGTTGGAACAGGCTCCTGCAGACAAGGTGATAATTGCCAGACCATCATCCATACACACAAGCTGCKACTTGCCCACTGCAAATTCATCTAACAAAATATCAAAAAAACGTTCATTTGCGACGCACACAGATCTGGTGTATGATTTACATGTCCACACAGTTTGAGCCTGAAATTTATTCTCTCTGTAATTAGACCAAAAACTGAAGGATCTCCCACAGCAGCAACATATCTAATTTAAAATAATATCAAAATCCCACGATTTTGTTTGTTTGAACCTTGATGAGCTCAGAAGTCAGTTGAAAACGATTATTTGAAGCGGATGTTAACCCTTTAGAACTCAGACTCATTTTTGTTTTCATGAAAATTATGAGGGTTGTAAATTACAATAAATTTATTATAGGCCTATGTAACATGTTTCTGATTTTTTTTATACTTCCACCCAGTGGAAATGTCATATGTGTCACATCGGGCATTCGTAAATTTATGATATATTTAATTTTAATAATTTCATTCATTTTCCTGCTTACTTTTCTTTAAATGTTATTTAAAATGAACAACAGGACATATACAGTATTTATCTAAAATAACTGAAGGAGCTAAACTGACTAAGCAGATGATCAGTATTTGTCTCATTGTGACAAATATAACACATGGAMTTTTTCTGTAGAGTTTATTGCCTGATGTGACATTTGTCACAAACTTATTATTCTAYATCAAATTGTTTTAGAAATGCTGTTAAACCAGGTTATAAGTGAATTATGACATATTAACTAAGGATTAGAACAGCTGTATGAGTGAAACTTTGCTAAGAGAAAACAAAGTTTCTTACATAGCTCAATGGTTGTTAGCTGTTCAGGTGCACCGAGGCTTTGGATACGAAAACTTCAGGTGTCCCTCCCTAGTCACATGACTGAAGCAGGACATTTGATGTCACTTAGGGACTTTATGAGTTAAAAGTCAGTGTTAAACCTAAATAAGAAAATTTTGTCAATGTTAAAAGGGGCCGTGGCACCAGGGTCATTTTGGATTAAGAATGTTGTGAGCACTTTCAAATATATAGTTTTTAAATCAGTCTGCTTAATTACATTTAGTGTTTTGAACAGAGTAGAATTTAATTTTGCAGCTAAACTTTATAGAATTCATAATAAGTGATCCTCCACGAGGATCCTGGCAATCACTGATGAATTGTCCAGAATATTTCTTTGATTTTTTTGGCTGAAACGCAACATTTTTGCAGTGAGATGATTTTCTCATGTAACACTTTGTCTCCTATTGAGAGTGAATTCCCTGACACATTCGTGATACAGTAATATATACAACGMAGTACTATATCATACTAAACTCAACAACAAAGAATACATTTTTATATTTCTTTTGTCATAATAGCATAAAATGTCCAACACGTCCTGCAAGTCAAAATTGTGTGAAAAAAATCTCTCCTCAAATGAGCTTTCCCAGATTGGCACAGCGAGCTGTGGTGATGTGGCCATGGATGATGCGTTGGTTAAAAAAAGGAAGGATGAATTGTGGAAGACGTGTTGAGACCTGTGTTCTAACCGAAAGACCCTAATAGCTGGGAAGARCAGCTCCTCACAAGCTGCTGTGCAGTACATGCTGGAGCCTGCATCTCTAACGCATCTCACACCCCTTCACTCCTGACACATTCGCTAGTCGTTCACACACACACACACGCTCATGCACCCACTCATGCGGCTCAGCGGCGTTGACTTTGACA